AAAAAAAAAAAAAAAAAAAAAAAAAAGGTTATATTTCATTTTGAAGCATTAATCACTAATACCATCTTAAAATGGTAGTTAAATTATCACTTTTCATTTAATTGGTCACATGCGCGCATAAGAGAAGGGTGACATGGACACATAGACTTATTAGGAACACTTTTTATTTTTTAATATATATTAGTATGAATATATGGCAGAGTCATGGATTTGAATCCGGTTGAATGTGTCCAGCTAGACAATATATAATAAATTATAAACAAGTAGAATATAAGTCCATCCAACTCCAAACTTGAGAGTATGTCTATCCAAAACTTGAGGACTACCTACATCTAGAATGGTTATATGTTTGCATTTAAAGGCCATGAAAATTAAATGCTTGTCCAATTAAGTGGGGCTAGGTTTTTAAAATCCTAGAAAAACAAAATGAAATCATATAATATGAGTACTCTATAACAAAATAAAAACAAAATAAAAAAAAATAATTAAAAAAAAAAAGAGAAAATTTGTTACCACACCAATAATAACATCCATTAAAACAAGAGCCAAAAACAACCCGCTTCTCTCTCACCCTTTTAGTCTTCCTTGATTTAGGGGGGAGAGAGAAACCTATCTTAGCGCCTACCATCGTCTTCATTGAGAGAGAAAATTTGTTGAAACACAACAATTTTACCATAATTCTATCTCCATCAACAATTCTCCTATGCACATCTAACCTGCTTAATTAATTACTTCTCATTCAATTTATTCCTAACTTTATAGAATTTTAAGATCTTTATTTTTGCCCATTTTCTCATGTATCAAGGATGAAGAAAATGGGCCTAAAATCAAACAAACATCAAATTTTATTTTCCACACGTTAAAAGTAATGAAACCACCCTTAATAATCTCCATATTTTCTTCTTCTTATTATTATTTTTAAGGAGCGATAAAAACCACCAATGTCAGCAATCACTCTTACGCCAAGATGTTACATATGGGTCATTACAGTATTTCTTTTGACCTGCATTCTTTCCGGAGGCACCTTCTTGGTGCTCTACATGACCCAACCTGAAACTCCTGCCACATCTTGGTACCCGATCATCGGCATCACTCTAGTTTGTCTACCTTGGTTTTTTTGGGTGATCACCGTCCTTTATCGAATCTTCTCCCGAGCCCTCGGCTTTAGGATGGTTTGTTGGGGAAAGAGCGTGTTACCTAACAATAACATGCGTAATGATGATTGTGGCAACGCCGAAGCTACTGGTGAAGGTGGTGTTAACTTGGAAAATGGTAACACAAATGACGCCACAAATAACTATTTTTCAAAGGGAGATACCTCAAAGCAGGTCCATTTTGGTGATTCAGTGGCCCAAGGCGAGCACCACAATAACCACGGATCCTATGGAGGCTCGCTCTCATCCATGGCTTCTCATGAGAGCGAATTGCCTTTGAAGATGTCAATGGTATGACCATGATTAATGATTATAGGAGATATTGATATCTTGTGTATAGGCAGCTTGGTGAATTCATTGAATGAAGAAAAATATTCGTCGGAGCCTATGTAAATGATGCGGTTAAGGCTTTTGGGTATGGTCATGTATAATTTAATGAACACCAAAGGTAGATAAATTATGATCATGTAGAGTAGACAAAGAGCTTGTTTTAATCACCCTATTCATTTAGAGAATCCTTCCATTATAATCAGTCATCAAAGATATCACAATCAAATTTTCCTAACGAATTAATGTCATTTTGCCCATTAACAAAATTTGTGGATGTTTGATAAACAGACATAATGCTATCATAAGATTTCATAAGACATCAATATAAACAATTTTTCATGGAGAAAATTGAGAAACTTGGGGTCAATAAGGTATACACATAAAATGATATAAATAGTTTTGCATTGCTTTTTAGTCTATATAGTATTTATTTTTTTATTTTGAATTTTGTAAGAGTTGGTTTTGAATTGTTTGTCTTTGATTTTAGCAAAGATAGTTGGACAATATCATGACATTTATAGTTGCTCTGATCTAGTATATATATCAATGGAATGATGGCCTCTTCTACTAGTGGTATGATACTGTTTTTTTTTTTTTGTTTTTTTTTTTTTTGGGTCGTCTTTATTGTAAATTTAGCAAAATTTAACATGACATAATTCTCTATACACCTAATTATGCACCATAGAGATAATGTTTTGGGCCTTCTGCCGTAGGAAATTCTTGAGCTTCAAAAGCACGAACTATCGTGATGAACACTAATATCCTACAATTGCATACCCTAAGTTTGTAAGCAAGCGTTATATGGATGTTACTTAAAATAATGGAATTATTGATGCTACACTCCCATAGACCATAGTCCTATGTTTTTGAGATATATGAACACTTTTGAGATATGACCCCGTCTTTGAAAGAGAGTATCAGGCCGTGCGATATCTCTCTCTAGCCATGCTCCCATATCTAATGCATGTTCCATACGCAAGTAAGGGAGTCAATAAAAGGGACAATGAACGGAGAGTTAGGGATCCAAAGCATGGGAGGGTTGTTTACTTGTTATATGTGACTGTCTGGGGAAGAGGGATACAAATATACGGTGAAGTGCAGGGGTGGCTAAGTACTTCCCAAAGTGATACATCAGTGGAACTTTAACATTCATCCATCAATAAGCAAGTCAAACTTGTACGTTACCCCTATAAGAAATTTAGGCTAGTTCAACTTATTAATGTTGATATTAGAGTATTTCAGTAATAATCAAATCAAGATTCAAGACATATATTATCGATTTTTTATTTTCTTTTTATTTATTGTTATATACCTTTAATTTCGTATGCACATGTCATATTTGAAAATTACATACGGGTACATATTAATACAAATCTAACGATGTTTCTTTTGACAGCTTTTATGTTATGGATTGATGTACAATGGGTTAAAGTCTGGTCAAATTAAAAAATCAGATCAAACAGATGTTTATAGTTCGGATTAGTGTATGTGCAAATAGGGTCAAATTATATGTTATCTAATACGGAGTATTGAAAGATTTATTTAAGTTATTCGACATATATATCAACTTATGGGTGGATTTACGGTGAAACGGACTCATCCAAATGATCCAATATTTTATGATAGCAAATTATTGCTATTTTATTTTTCATATATATTTTTTATTCCACTATGAAGTATTAGTGTATTCATAATTTGTTCTTATAACTACTCTTTATCTCAGTTTTTTTTAATTTATTTTTATTTATTTATTTACTTCCATGAAAAATACAAATGCAAACTACAATACAGAGTATGAGACAATAGGAGTCCTATGTTTAACTTGTTCATATCATCACCATACTATTAGTAAAATCAATGTATTAGATGATTAGTGAACATCTTCAATAAAATATTACAAGTATAAAAATCATTGGTAGCCAGGTCAGACAGGAATAATCACTCTCCATATTGAAATTTGAAGCCACCTTGTTAATCTAAGAGAATTCACTCCAATTAAGATTCGTAATTAGAATATTCTATCATCCTATCTTACCCTTTCGTCGTATCATACGTGCTCTTTACATAAAGTTTCTTTCATAAAAAGTTTCTTTAAGATAAAAGATATGCTAATCCAAAAAAAAAAAGTAAGCTTATTCTTGTTTCTTACAAGTTACAAGTGATACACTAGACAATAATTCAATAAGTATGAAAAAGACTCATTCTCACGGCATGTTTATTGCATGATGAATATGAGAGTGTGACTCCAGAATAAATAAGCACAACTACTGGCATTACCTACACGGCTACACCATAGTAGAAATCGTAAATATACTTATTAACAAACCTCATGGATTGTTATCGTCAAGGAACATAAACATAAATTAGTCCCTGAATTTAGCATACGGAGTACATTTGACTTTAGAACTAAGGTGGTGTTGATGTAGTAGATCTCATTTAATTTGTAAGCATTTTTGTCACTTGATGTCCAAATATAAAATTTCCTATGAATATAATGCTCTGATGGTCTGATCTTACCAGGACAATAATTAACACAATTCCGATAAATTTCAAATTATGGTCAAATCGACAAATTGTCATCATTGACAACCATATGCAAGATTAGTTTCTTATTTTAAATGGAGTATCAGATTGAAAGTATCCTAAACAAATTTGAAAGAATTCAATTTATGTATAATATCGGGTGAAGAACTTAAGATTCATTGATACTTTGTTATTATCACATCCTTACATAATAATTCATCGTTATAAATGATTTAATGTTTACTCTGTATTTGTGTATAAATTATAGACATTTTTTTATTTTTAGAAAATTATAGACAAGTTCAATTCACAGAATTAAGCTTAAGTTTTCTTTTCTTAGAAAAATCACACAAGAATAGTGTTATTGCTTATTCCAAATTGATTACAACTTTAACCATTTTCTAAGATGTACAGTCAATAAGCTTTATAGTTTGACTATTTCAATAATAGTACTCCCTCTTTTTCTTAATGATGTTCCTATTTATGTAAATTGATATAAGTTTTTATCCGTCCTTAACCGCAAATATCTTTAATCTCACAGTAGAAAAAATTATAAAAGTTAGATATTAATAATCTACTCATCAAGACGAATAAAATTAGATCCCACGTGACTATATTTACTCTTATAGATTGAGAGAAATTTAGAAGATTCTCTATTATTTTTTAAAAGTCAAAGATTTCATACAGGATAATCATTGTGGAACGGGAGTACCAATTTAACGCTTCCCATTTTCACAAACAAAATTAGATTCATTATAATAACAAGTTAACAAACTAACCAAATGCTCGGAAAATCCGTTAAAATAATCAAAAAATACCCCCAATTTCTCTCTAATATCAAATCCCTTCAATGTCAAAAACCAATTAAAAAAACCACAATAATTACCTAGAATCATACCAATAAAATACGATAATAAAACAAAAAAACTAGAAAACACAAAAGCAACTTTCTAGATCCAAAAGCATAATAACAATACATTTAAATCTTTCAAAGGTACCAATAATAATAATACTTCTTTTTATTTATTTTTTTGAATATTCAGTGGAATCAAATCCGCTTTACATGAAATCAAACCAAGTAATCCCACAAAACCTAACAACAAAAAGTAAAGTAAAGCTAACCAGCGTAGATGTGAACACCAATAGCAATAAGGAAGATGGTAATCAGACCAAAGTAAATGATCCCGTGTACGACGATGGCGGCGCCACTGGTTTGCATATTACCAAACTCAATGACACGGCCGCGGCCGGGTATTTGAAAGAGTAAGCCTGGTGTAAGAAGAACGAATAACACCACCGCTATAACCACCGGTCCCCAATCTGCCATCCTTAGTTTGTTTTTGGAGAAACTGTTTTTTTCTTCTTTGTGTTTGTGTTTGTATTTGTATTTGAGAGTATATTTTGAGAAACTTCCGGTTTTGTTTTGATTTGAAGTAAAGTGGGAAGTTAGGGTCTTCACGATGTGTTATTTAAAGAGTGTCCCGTAGGACACATATGATATGTACAAATAAAAATAAAGGAAATAAAAATAAATGGAGAGGAGAGAGTGACAAGGATATGTGAGGAAGGAAAGGGAAGTGTAAGTCATAAGATGAGTCAATCAATGGTATATTTCGGAGCACGTGTAAGGTTAAGATCATCGTTTGTGGGGGTTTGTGGTTTTTCGTTTTGTGTTTTGTGTTTTTTTTTTCCCCAAAAAGGCGTTCTTTATGTAGCCTAATAGGCCACATCGTGTGGCCGGAGTTACTTATTTAAGGATTACTCGATCGGTTAAGAATTATTTATTTAGGGGTTACTCGATCGGTCAGGGCTTACTTGATCAGTCAAGGGTTACTCGGCAATAGGTTACTTGGTAAGAGCTTACTTGGTCAGGGGTTACTCGATCGGTTAGGAGTTACTCGATCAGTTAAGGGTTACTCGATCAATCGGGGGTTACTCGATCGGTCGGGGATTACCCCAAAATAAGTAACCCCAACCACACGGTATGACTAGCCACATATGAAGCTTTTTTTTTTTTTAAGTTTTTTATTTAATCAACAATTGTACTCCCTCCGTTCTAAAAATTTGACCAAACTTTGACTTTGACTTAATTTGTACAACACTGTAGTTCGTAAAATAAAAAATCATCAACTGAGATGTTATTAGATTTGTATTAATATTTCCGTTATCTCTTTTCCCTCTCTTAAACCTAGCCACCATAGTGAAACTTAGGGGCTATCGAATTTTAGTAATGGTAAGCCCCAAATTCTTCTTTAATTTAATGTTTTTCGCCAATAAAGATCACCAACAATATGGTGATTATAGTCAGTCCCTCTATGTAGGTTTTAGTCAATTCCCCAGTGGTGGGATTGTCAGTATTGTTCGTTTGTTTGATTTTCTTGTGTACGGGGATACAAGTTTGGAAAATTCGTCTTGCAAATTTGTGGAATTGCGGGTCTGTTGGTTTAGGGGTGCAGATTTAAAAGATTCGTCTTGCAAATTTGTTGATCTTGATGACCAATCAAGTTTTATCACTTTCGCGACTATACATCAATGGAGCTTCGTCAAGAACGATGCAAAGACATCTAAAATTATTCAGGGGCAGTTCAGAAGCGATGCCATTAGTTTAGATGTGTTAAATACTTGTATTGAGAATTTAGATCTCTTAAGGGATGATTGTAAGTGCCGAATGACTAATATTATTTAATGAAATCACCTCATCCTATTCCATTAAAAAAATAAATAAATAAAAAAATATTTGTATTAATATGTACTTTCTAAATATGAAATTTTTATAATTTTTAATATTAAGAAAATAATGATGTTCAACAATAAATTAACGCAAATAAAAATTAGGATAAGATCTGATATTATGTAATTTGATTAATTTTAAAATAAGTTGAACTGAACATAAAAGAGTATTAAGATATAATAAGTACGATTGTTGATTTCGATATACGAAATTAGTTAATGTGATAGTGTGTGGTTTAATGAAAGGGAAAAGTGACAATAATAGCCTAAAGAGAGAAAATATAAATGTTAGATATTTGTTCAAAAAAAATGTTATATATGACTCGTAATCGAGCAATCACGTGCACATTTAGGTGTCCACAAGGAGACATGCCCACGGCATTGAGAGGCACGTCTATGCACCTCATCAGAAAATTCGCATAATGAAGTTTCTGCCTACTCGTTTTCAAAGAGGTGCGCCTCGTGTCCCAAAGTGACATTGCACGTCCGTGCCATGATGAATGTTGGAGCATCACACCAATGCCAAAAAGTGGCACGCTAGTGCTACATCGAGGTGAAGTCTTTTGTACTGTGAGTCTGCCTCAACCTTTTAAAAGGGGCACACAGGTGCTTAGTCGAGTGAAGGTTGTTTTAATGTGAGTCTGCCTCAACCTTTTAAAAATGTACCTCATATATTTCCAACAACCTATTTTCTTATGATGCATATGGGTTAATAGGTACCAATAAAGTGAACTAGAGATGATAAAAACTGAAGGCATTGACACTCCCTGCTAAAGATGTCGAATTAGGTGTGTAAATTGTGTCTTGTCGGATCAGGTTTAGGCTACGCTATGCTAGTTTTTCAGTGCTGATTAAATTATGATTCAGTTCACTTAACTCACTTTGGGTTGGGTTCTTTAATTTTAGCATGGGTGTTAATCCTCATCTCTTGCCTAATATGTGACTAAAGAGAAATTAGAGCAGTTTCTGCTTCATTTAATTGATATGGCCATACCGGCATTACTTCTGCCTATTATTAGCCTCATTTTTTACTTAGGCATTACAACCACCTCAAGGTTCTGATACACGAGTTTCTTATTCGTTTTATTTGCCTGGGAAATGTGCCTTGCTATAACATCTGTTTTGATGACATCTTGGTAATGCATGAGAATAGCCATCTGATCTTGAAATTTATTTTCTCCCTTTGCATCATCTTGCTCCAGCTTTCATCCCTCTTTGATGTTTACTTAGTTAATTACTCGTTTTCAGGCTGTTCTGACTTCTGGTATGTTTTGACTTTTGGGATTCATTGGTTTGTTCTGACTTCTGGGATTCATTCTCCTTTTTGCTCTCTTGTGAGCAACTGTACATCGACATCTCAAGTTCTGAATTTAATTCATATTATGAGGCAGAAGTTCAGTGACATCTTACATGTGTACATCGGATATTGTAGCTTTGGAAAGTTTTTCTTCATGTCTGATGTAGATGTGAGTTTTTCAGCAATATAACTGTCTTCTTGGTCAGCTTAAACTTTTATGAAAGTTGTATTGGTGATTTTGCTTTTTCAGGAGTAAAGGTCACTGCACTCGACTAATGCTATGATCGCAATGCTTCTAATGCCAGCTTAGTCTGCCTGAGAGCCTTTTGCATGTCCATATTGTTTGTGCTTATGTAACATTGTATGTTATTTATTTTTTAACGAAAATTGTAATATTACAGCCTTTTATAATGAAAATATGTAACTTTATATATATGTTAGTGTTTATATATCAATTTAAGTGAAAAAAAATGCAAAAAAAAAAATTTATTTTTTTATTTTTTTGGGGCACTTTTGGCACCGATTTTGGAACAGAACTGGTGCTAAAAGTTTTTTTCTAAAATTATTTTGGGACTTTTGGCACCGGTTCAAAGCAAGAACCAGTACGAAAAGTGAGGTTTTTCGCATCGGTTCTCACCCAGAATCGGTGCAAAAAGTCTGATTTCGCACCGGTTTTGAACCGGTGCGAAATGTATGGGGTTTTAGCACCCCCCAAATCAAGACCGGTTAAAAACCGGTGCGAAATGGGGGGTTTGAACTGGTGCGGATTACATGATTTCGCCTAGTGGCGTGTAGTACCTCTTGGAATGTTTTCTAAAATCAATTTTCTCAATATGACGATTACTAGAATTATATTGGAAGAGCAATATAAGGTTTATCATGGTTTTCTAATGTTATAAAAGGACCCGTTATGTGATCAATTGGATTACACCTTTAACCCATTAAATAATTATGACTCCTTGTATATTTCTCCTATTTGCTCTATTATACACGAATCTCATCCAATAAAATAGGTCTAATTGACCGAACCACGTAAATGTTTGTGTTCTTTGTTGCAATCTAGTTCTTATTATGGTATTGAAATTTGTTTCACATTAATAAAATTTTACACCACCTATTTCTCAACAATAAATTGTATACACAGTTTTTGTTTATTCAGTCTGTAAAATTATTTTGATACTAATCTTTTTAGTGTTATTAAATACTTCCTCCATTTCGTAATAATCGCAACACTAAGTGTTGCACAAATTTTGGGAAATTTATAGAATAAGATAAAATGGAAAATTTTATAATATAAAATACAGAGCGTGTTTGACAAAAGTAGTTGTGTAGGTAGCTGTTAGCTGTCATAGTAGTTGTTAGTTATACACCTAGTTGTTAGTTGTACACATAGTTGTTAGCTGTGAATGTTTAAATTTTTAGTAGGAGTGTTTCGGTAAATTATTTGTTGAGTTTCTAAAGGTTTTTAATTAAATAATAGAAAATTATAATTTCACTATTAAATAAATTATAATTATATTATTAGTCAAATTTTTACAACAATTTTTTTTATAACATACTACTGATACAAAGATACAATAAATCTCAATTATAATAAAGATAAAATAAAAAATAGAACCATAGAGTAAAAATCAACAAAACAATTCATGTCAATTATTTAAGTGTCCCAAGTTAACTGTCCCACTTGTCAAAGCACAAATTTGACTAATGATATCTTTAATTATCAATAAGTATAAATTATAAAAAGTTGATGTAATCCCCCGTATTTTTAAAATATTTTATAAATGAAATGTTATTTTATTTATAAATTTATTTGTATTTCTCTAGAATTTATTTTTAGAAGTTTCAAACTATTTTTTTGGGTGAAAATTTTTTTTGGTAAAAATAATTTTATGTATCTACATTCTACAATTCATAACCATCAAAATATAAATCCAATCCAATTTTATTAATTAAGAGGCCCATCATTTTTATATTCATGAGGCCCAATCTAACTTTTCCTACCCTACAATTTTCCTCCTATAAATACTCCACTAATTCCCAAATTTTTCCCCACATAAAAGGTTAGTTTTATTTTTCCTTCTCCTTTATTTTTATTTCTTTTCTTATCCTTTATTTTCTTTTTTTTCCTTTTTCTTTTCTTTCTTCCTTTTTTTTTCCTTTCTTACGTGAGAACTACACCCCCTATGCTTGCTACCACCACCTGCCACCTCTGGGTCACCGAGCTCCGGCGACCAACCAGCGGCCCAACCGTGGCCCACTCTTCTTCCTCTTCCTTTGTTTTCTTTTTATTTTGCTTAATACTTAATTAAATTGTTTTGTGTTTCATTTTATTGTTTGAATTATTTAGTATCAAAACTATATTTTGGTGCTTTAAAACTTGTAATTTCATATTATAATGTTAGTTTTAATTTTCACATTTTGCAATTATAAAGCCTAGGGTTTTAATTTATTGAAAGTGGGATTTTAGGGTTCTTGTAAGCAATTAAATTGGGGCTTTTGTTCCTATTAAATTTCTAATCAATAATTAAGCATAAAAACATGTTTTTAAGAAAGTTCTTAGGAGTTTTAAACCAAATTATATTGCTGATAATTAGTTTGGGTATTAGTTTATGATTTTTGGTTGTTTTCTAGGAGGTGATTATTCCATAGGAGTTTTTTTTACACATCAAGTCGAATTATATCTCTCTCTAAAGTTGAATGATCTCTCCTCTCTCTAAATAAAAACCCTTTTCCTTTCCTCCTCTCTGCCGCCAGTGGCCTGAGCATAGCTGCTCATCCTCGGTTA